GGGGCGCCAAGGGGGGATGAGTGGTCGTGGCTGCGCCCTAGGCAGCAGTGTGCCCTAGGCGACTGCCTAGTTTGACTAGTGGTAGCACCGGTCCTGCCTATCAGTCGGCACGGGCTACTTAAGGCCCGTGTACAGCTACATAACACAGAGAAGTCTTTAATCAGTGTATCTGATGGTATATTTATAATTTAATAAGAAATAGTTCCATGTGTTCAGTTTAATAAGTCAACTAATTACACTGATCCAAGAAACCAGTTTAAACTGCAGAAGGGAAAATAAACATTAATTAGTCACTCGTGGCATTACACATTCAGCTCCCTCCAGGGTCAGCACAGAGGTCGGATGTGGGCGAGATAGGGGAATATCGGCTGCACCTCCGAGACCCCTGTTGTGAGTGTTGCATTAGGATCCAGTTTAGTTACTCATCATATTACTGCTCTGTGCATATTAACATGTGCTGGAAATAATGTAATAAGAATTGTTTGCCCAAGGCAGGATCTTTCATTGTGAAAGCAGAAATACTTATTTATTATTTTATGTGTCTCACAGACAATGCATTGCTGGTAGCAAGCAACAAAATGGTTTGTCATGTTACCACAATTTAAAAGCCACATGAAACTGGTCATGTGATGTCTCTTCAATCACACAGCTAAACACTAGACATGTGCAATTCATTTCGTTCTGACAAATTTTCCGAAATTTCCAGAATTTCTGAATCCCAATGCATCCGAATGTGCCCGAATCCGAATTTCCATTTCCGAATTAGGGATCCCGTCCGAATTTCGTCTTAAAAACTAAACTGAATCGGACATGTGACTTTTCTGGCCAATCAGATGTGCTTTTCAGTTTAATGCATCCGAATGGGTCTGACCACGAATTTTCGTTAGGGCAACATGGGAGCCATATACAGTATATACATATAATTCTAAAGCTGAGGCTCCCAGACCCGAATGGCAGTCAGGTTCAGAATTTCCGAATTGCAATCGAGAGCTCCTGAATGCCATTCGGGGCTGGGAGCCTCAGCTTTAGTAATATATGTATATGGCTCCCAGACCCGAATGGCATTCAGGAGCTCTCGAATGCAATTTAGAAATTCTGATCCTGAATACCGTTTGGGTCTAGGAGATTCAGCTTTAGTATTAATATCTGTATATGGTTTTCTGTGGTATTCACAACATTTTTAGTCCGAATCCAAAACCCGAACCAAATTGAATTGTGGATATCTGTGGTATTCACAACAAATATTCGTAAACTCATCCGAAAATTCGGATTTAGTCCGAATCCAAAACCCGAACCAAATTGAATTGTGGATTCAAATCCCAAAATAACGAAATATCTGAACCGAATTTTTCTGCAGCTTACATGTCTACTAAACACCTAGATGAAATAAGCTTATATAGGCTATTTTATCTGTTTGTGGTTCTGTTCAGCTGGTCTTGTTATTCCCACACTCCTGCCACTTTGCATAGCCAAGATGGTGTCACCACTGTTCACTGTTATAGATTTGTGGCTCCCTTTGTCACTTCCCTCACATAGGACCAAAGTCAATGTTCCGTACTCTGCCGAGGTCCTTCCTATACTCTCCATCTACTATCAGCTTATATGAACTGTTTTGCCTGCTCAGCTGGAGCTCCAACTTCAGTCTTCATGAGGGCAAATGTAGACAATATTTCATATTTACCTAAATTAAAGTAGTAAAACATATTTTTAAAATGTTTAATCTTTAGTCTCGAGCATAATAAATAGAGTCAGTGCATAATAAGTAGTAGATACAAAATAATTAGTACCGTACATGGTTAATAATAAGTAGATAATAAATAGTAAATGAGAATAATAACAATAATAATAATAAATATAAATATATATATATTAAGTACATAATAAAAAATAAAAATAAATACATAATAAATAAAAGTATTATTTCTTAAGAAAAGATTGGGTGGCTACTCCTCCAGCATTATCCAATAGGAGCCTTCCTTCCCGTGTTTTATGTCTCATGCCTAATAATAAAGTTATGTTAAGTTAATAAATGTTATGATTAAAAAATATATATATATAACAAGAAAAACAATGCATACAATACAAGATGATACCTGGAAAATCTCACGCATAATAATTAGCTGATCTGGGATTCTAAGACTCATTGGGATTCATCCGTGTGGCTCCATAATTGCTACTAGGACCTCAGAGCGAGAGGCAATGAGAACAAAGGTGATCGGGGGTTGATTAAGTCCGCAGAGATTCCAACATTATTATCTACTGCCAGAAATATTGTGAAATAGGTATACAGTATACAATGCTAAAATAAAATCACTCTCCAAAAAACACTGTTATTAAACCTATTCTAATTTGTAAAGGACATGAGAATAATCATCTGATAATCCATCGTTTTATATATTTGTGTAAGGAGTCCACTTTACTTGACATATATGACCACAGCTGGTAGGACCTGAAGTGTGCCATGGTCCGGGCGGACAGTATTGCCAATAAGGGGGCATACTCAGATAGTGTGAAAGGTTTTGGATTCGGACAAAATCCTTTTGGTAAATATTTTGCAAAGTTTCTTACCTGGAGCACTGTTGCATCCTGACAACACCAAGCCACTGCCCTGCAATCAGCAACAGCGTTGTCAGAGTGCCATGCAAGTTCCTTGAGTTGGCTGTTGGGCTTGATAGGCAGACCTGATAGGCAGGCAACAACAGCCAAGTAAGAGGCCACAAAACAGGCTGACCACACCTGTATTTGCAAGGCGGTGGCTAAGCGTTGTCAGTCAGTGAAAGGCAATGTAACAGGATCTCCAGGAAAGATACTTTATAACAGGTTCTCCAAAAATCATTTGCTTAAAGGAGAACTATGGGGTTAGGGCTTTTCCCCATAGTTCTGCTTAAGGTAACGGGAGGACACAAACTGGCATCCTCCCGTCACCCTAAGCTCAGTATACCGCGAGCTACAGCTCGCGGTATACTGAGACGCCGCAGTTGAAACGAATCCCGACAATTCTGTCTGGATCCGCCCAGCTGCGTGAGTGACAGCTGGCTCTGCCTATCTAGAGGCAGAGCCAGCTGTGCCCGCCCCCTCCCCCGTCCGTTCCGCCAGTCAGCGCTCACTTCCGGATCTACTGAGCCGACCTGTGACAGTCTCATTGTCACAGGTCCGCTAGAACTATGAGGTGAGTGAAAAGCACTCACCTCATAGTTCTACTTTAAGATATCTGCATACTGTGAGGCATGTTGCCAATCGAAGTGAAGAAAAAAAAAATTGGCTTTGGCTTTAGGCACACTTTAACTTTTTTTTTTTTCTGCTATTGAAACAATTCCACAAGGATATCATAAAGTCGTGTAATTCAAGGCTTTTGAGTTGAAAAGAAAATAAACCAGAAGAACAAACACAATAAATAATCACTAGTGTCAAATAGACAGTAAAATATAATTACATCCCACTACCGCTCTCCTAGGTAGTAAACACAGAAATATAGTAATTAAAACACTACAGCAACAGCAACAATGTCAGTTTAAAGCTAAATTTTATTAAACACAGACAAACGCTGCTGGCAGTCGGGATAATAAGCTGTTTTAAGAGAACTATAGTGGTTGGGGGGGGGGTTCCGGGCTTCAAATGAAACATTGACCTAAATGTAATTTTTTTTGTTAATTTTTTCTGGGTCAATTTCCATTTTTATGTTCGCTGTTCCATGTTCTGACAAAGCTTCACAGAATCTGGGCAGCATCTCTGCTAAAGAACTTTGGCGAAAATGTGTAATAGCCACACAGAGAGTTTGTTCATTAAGGTGGTAGATTACGTGGATCTGTTCAGTTATTTGCAAATGAATTCTGATTGCAGGCAGTTGCAATTTCCTGACCGTCCCCATATGTGAGGCCATCATCATATAGTTGTACTGAGAGATAGAGCGGCATTAAAATGTAATCAGTGTGCCCCACTGCTTGACATGAATCCATACCTGGGCAACAGTCTGTGGACACCTGACCAGGGCCGGATTTCCCACAAGGCCAACCAAAGCCCGGCCTTGGGGCAGCAGGGAGTAGAGGGGCAGCAGGGGTGTGGAATTTCTACCTCCCAATGCCCGCGACTAGCAGCTTCGGGCACCGGGCGGGTAGTTGTTTTCTACATTTAGCCCTGCTTTGGGCAAGCAGAGCTAAATGTACAGCAGGGATGCTGCCACTTGTTTTGTACAAGTTATCCCGGAGAGACTCTCTGCAGGCCAGTCAAGTTCCTCCACTCCAAATTTGCTCCTCCATGTCTTTATGGACCTTGCTTTGTGCACTGGTGCACAGTCATGTTGGAACAGGAAGCGGCCGTCCCCAAACTCCTCCCACAAAGTTGTGAGCATGAAATTGTCCAAAACGTCTTGGTATGCTGATGCCTTAAGAGTTCCCTTCACTGGAACTTAGGGGCCAAGCCCAACCCCTAAAAAGAAACCCCACACCATAATCCCCCCTCCGCCAAACATTACACTTGGCACAATGCAGTCAGGCAAGTACCGTTCTCCTGGCATCCGTCAAACTCAGACACGTCCATCATGGATGCAGCTGCTCGGCCATGGAAACCCATTCCATGAAGCTCTCTACGCACTGTTGTTGTGGCAATCTGAAGGCCACACGAAGTTTGGAGGTCTGTAGTATTGACTCTGCAGACAGTTGACGACTTCTGTGCACTGTGCGCTTCAGCATGCGCTGACCCCGCTCTGTCATTTTACGTGGCCGACCACTTCATGGCTGAGTTGATGTTGTTCCCAGTTGCTTAGGTTATAGTTTTACTATGATCCTAAATTATTCAACTACACACATGAAATACACAGGAGAGCATAAATCACTTCCCGGACAGGTAATTATTGGGCAAAATAATTGAAAATAAGATTTGTTTCTGGAAGTGTGCGGGGCGCTCTTGGATCTTGGAGTGTA